CAGTTACACATTAATTTGTCCTCTTACATTGCGCTATATTTAACGGTAGATTCCCATTCTCTCTATACTTTCTTATAGGTACTCTCTAGTTTCTTTATCTGTATGGGTAGTATTTAGTGGTAGATGAGGGGTGAATCGATTCGGCAGACGTTGATAAAAAACAAGTCTGGAATCGGAATGGATAAAAAAATATACAGTGCATTTCTTTAACGTTTCTTCCCTTTTATTTTTTGAACGAATCAACTTAGAAAATTGAAATTTGGGATAATGGAACTAATGCATGATTACTATATTTGGAGTAAAATTGACAGATTAAAATTTCAAGATGGCGACTGGGCGCCATTTTGGTGAATAAATTAAATGGAAAGGGGGGGGTCTTGTGATACATCATTTTGAAGCTCCTGACAAATACTCTACAACCCTGGAATATAAAGTCAATATCTGCACCCATTTCAAATAGCGGACATTTAATAATTACCTGAATACATCGACGTTTAACGTCATAATTTGAGGAAATAAGCTGAGTTCAGTTCAAAAAATGCTCGAAATGGTTGCCTTGAACTTCTTGATATAAGAACAGCCTAACCGAACATTTTTGAACATAGTAACGTCGATATTTTTACAAATATCTGTAATTATTTCTCGTTATCCAATATTGAAGTAGGTTCAGTTTCGTACACTTTTTGCTTCAAATAACCCCATAAAAAAAGTCTAAAGGTGTCAAATCTGGCGAGCGGGCTGGCCATTCCGTAGGACCTCGACGACCAATCCAACGATCAGGGAAAATACCATCCAAATAGTTCATTACTTGTCTGGAGTAATGTGGTGGTGCTCCATCTTCCAATGGACGAGAATTGGCCATTTTAGAGTTAGTTCACGTGGTACCTAATTACAATAAGAACTAAACAACCGAAAACTAAATGAAAATACTTTGAACACTAGGAAAATCGAAAACTAAAGAGAATATTTTGAACACTAGGAAAACCAAAAACTAAATGAGCATATTTTGACTAAACAATTAATGTTCGTTGTCGTACTTAAATTTTTGGAATTTTTTTAACCAAAAATAACCTGTCAAACCTTATCGGTTTGCTTGGATTGCTATTTGCCTTAGAAAAACAAATATTTCTATAAAAATTGATATTAATTTGTTTGTATTCAGGTAATTATTAAATGTTCCGCCATTTTGAAATGGTGCAGATATTAACTTTACATTCCAGGGTTGTAGAGTATTTGTCAGGAGCTTCAAAATAATGTGTCACAAGACCCCCCTTTCCATTTAAATTTATTTCCCAAGATGGCGCCCAGTCGCCATCTTGAAATTTTCATCTGTCAATTTTACTCCAAAATATAGTAATCATGCATTAGTTTCATTATCCCAATTTTCAATTTTCTAAGTTGATCCGTTCAAAAAATAAAAGGGGGGGGGGACATTGAAGAAGTGCACTGTATGTATAGGTAGTATTTAGTGGTAGATGAGGGGTGAATCGATTCAGCAGACGTTGATAAAAAACAAGTCTGGAATCGGAATGGATAAAAATATATATATATGGCCGCATTTATTCAATTTCGAGTCGCTCGATCTATCCGATATGGCTGGTTCGAAAGTAGGGCGAAAAGCCCGAACGCGAACGGGGGAGATGGAGAAAGTAAAAGCGGCCGATGGTTCTTTTGGAGGAAAAGCAATTGAAAGCGACGATGCTGATCTAATCTGCGATCGGATCAGACAATGGCCGTGCGCGCCATTCAGTCCGGTAATCTTTCACCTGGCGAAGACCTCTATTAAATTTTCCGGAAACGGGCGTGTGTACACTGGGAGAAAAAGCGGCGAAATTTAATTAATCCCGTTACACCCGCGAGCGGTGCGTAAAAAACCCTTTTTTTTCGAGCCGTTAAGTAATTTTTTTCCGTTTCGCCGAGTCGTAAAATTCCCACATGCGGTCGTTGTACCTGCATACAATTATCCCGCTAATTGGGCTCCGGCGAAAACCGAAATGAAAAACGCAAATCGGGGAAAAAGCGAAAGCAACAGGGGTAAAAAAAAGGTAGCGAAAATAGTAGGTAAACCGCCAACAATGCCGTTACCTCGCGTCGCGGCAACCTTTCAAATTAGAACGGGCTTTTGGTTACTTTTTAAGCGGCCAGTGGACGGTGCGATAAATGTCAGTTTCATTAGTTTATTTTACACTTCTTTTTCTGATATACACTCTACTCTATACGACGTGAAATTGTGCTTAAAAAAATACTAAAAGCATCACTTTTTTTACCAGCACCATACAAAATATCAACCCTTATATACAGTATGTGTCACGACGAGGGCCCATTAGAAGTATCTGGAAAAGTAGTTGTAATTAAAATTTGAAAATTTGTGTACAAGTATTAGTCGATGCGCTCTATTCAATGAAAATATTTTCAACTTTTTTTTACTTCCGGTTATACCGGAAATGGACAGCAACTTTGTTATTTTAAATGGGACAGCCCGTATATTAATATATTTTCGAAATGTACGCAAAATTTTAGAGTGCTTTTGTCTAAAGAAACTTTTGTCAAAAATGCATACTTTTTGAGTTACTAATTTTTTTTTGAAAAATTTGACCGATGCAGACCCTTATAAATTATTTTTTTACGGGGATCCCTTTAAAGATATGGATACGGTTTCTATAGGGTGGCCACTAGCAAGGTCAAAGGTATTTGAATCTGTGTTAAAAAAACTTTTTATTTTATACGGGGTGTATACAAAACATCTGAAAAGTTGAACTTCAGAAATACCAAGTCTTTTCATTTTTTAAATGGAACCACCCATTTTTTCTATTTTTTTGAAATCAGCGGTAAAAAATAAGGGAAGCTCATGTTTACTTGTTTTAAAGATATTAAAAATTTTACATAAAACTTATTTTTCTGCCTTATTCTTAAATAACTCGGTTTTACAAGTTGGCCATGTAATATCTCACAAGTACCAAAATTAATAATCAATTAATTACAAACAATTTACATGGCCAACTTGTAAAAACGGATTATTTAAGAATAAGGCAGAAAAGTAAGTTTTAAGTAAAATTTTTAATATCATCAAACCTAATAGGTTTAGGTATAGGGAAGTAAACATGAACTTTCCTTATTTTTTATCGCTGATTTCAATAAAATAGAAAAAAATAGGTGGTTCCATTTAAAAAAATGAAAAGACTTGGTATTTTTGAAGTTCAACTTTTCAGATATTTTGTATACACCCCGTATAAAATAAAAAGTTTTTGAACACAGATTCAAATACCTTTGACCTTTCTTGTGGCCACCTTATAGAAACCGTATCCATATCTTTAAAGGGATCCCCGTAAAAAAATAATTTATAAGGGTCTGCATCGGTCAAATTTTTCAAAAAAAATTAGTAACTCAAAAAGTATGCATTTTTAAAAATAGTTTTTTAGACAAATCACTCTAAAATTTTGCGTACATTTCGAAAATATATTAATATATGGGGTGTCCTATTTAAAATAACAAAGTTGCTGTCCACTTCCGGTATAACCGGAAGTAAAGAAAAGTTGAAAATATTTTCATTGAATAGAGCGCATCGACTAATACTTGTACACAAATTTTCAAATTTTAATTACAACTACTTTTCCAGATACTTCTAATGGGCCCTCGTCGTGACACAAACTGTAGTAGATTAAAAAAAAGCTAGCCATTTTTAACCTATTTAATACCTCTACTAACGCAAACAATTAGTAAAATCTGGCACCTACAAATAATATGTACATAATTCATCTACTTAAAACGCGCGAAAAAAATTTAAACGACCGAGCGGCGTTAAAAAAACCGTTAAAATTTTTTGTTCATGAGACTCGTTCCGCCGCCTTCTCGAAACATGCCGAAAGAAAAATGGCGGGTCACAAATAGGAAACGGATCCCGACCTCCTCCTGTCGAAAGTACCAAAGACAGATTCTCCCTGCCTGCGAGTAATACTCGTCGCCGCCGCAAATCCCAGTCCATCAACGAAAGTCACATTGTGGCCTATTTCTCGCAAGCCCTCGGCTATGTACACGTCCTGCAACGAAAGAAAAAAAAGAAGCGGAAACGCCACCTTAGGATTAGAATTCCCGGATTGTCAAGCGCCGTAACATGTTTGTAATTGCGAGAGGAAATCGGCGGATACGAGGCGGATTAAAGTTTTACTGTTAATTATGATCAGGTTGCTAAAGGAGATGATGGATTGGTAAACGCGAGTTATACACTGTGTTGTTTATAAGATGCGATATAGGGATTCCTGTGCAAATGTGTCAAAAGCGAGCTAACTTTTTTACCAAATAACGTTCGTAAAAAATAATGACAGATTTGAAAAGATCGTCAAAAAATAAGTCGAAATGGATATTAAATTTTCTTAAATTCGTTCTGGTTTAATAAAAAAATGTATAATTAAATTGAAAAAAGTCATACGTCATATGTCACTATCTAATAATTGCTAAAAGAGGCGGAGATATCTGGATTGGTTTACGCTCTGAAGTTTGAAAAATTCAGCGATAAGGAATCTGGTTCAATCCCACGCAGTGCAAATTTTTTTTTCTTTGGCATTTTTTGTTTTTTTAATGTTTTTTTTGTCAAGAATAAAAATATGGCATTATTTTAAAGGCTCTACCTACTAACGAGATTTTGCGTTATTAAAATTGACGCTTACTTGTCGGAGCTTTTATTTAAATAAAAAATAAAATTATATCTCAAATAAGCTCGCCTTATTTTAAATATTTCTATTTAACATTTTTTTAGACAAAAACATTAGAAAAAACCCAAAAAAACAAAAGAAAAAAATGTCTTCACTGCTTGGGGATTGAACCACATTACTTCTCGCTAAAATTTTTAAATTTCAGAGCGTAAACCATCCCGGCTAACTCCGCCAATTTTACAATTATTAGATAGTGACATAAAAATGACACATTTATGACGTTTGACTTTTTTCAACTTAATTACACATTTTTTAATTAAACCAGAACGAATTTAATAAAATTTAATATCCATTTCGACTTATTTTTCGACGATCTTCTCAAATCTGTTAAGTTAATCGAACGTTATTTGGTAAAAAAAGTTAGCTTGCTTTTGACACATTTGCACAGGAATCCCTATATCGCATCTTATAAAATAACACAGTGTATACCTCGGTTTGAAATTCGGGCTCCATGTCGATCCTCATAGGCCAGAGCTGGTGGTGCAGCCGTTTGTAATCCATCGCTCGCTGGAGGTCCGTTTTGTACCACAAATGTCTGATTACGACCTGCCAAAACCATCAAATTATTTACAAGAAACGGTGGAAATGATTTCGTTACCTGCGCAATTCCGGTGATAATTTTGGATCCCCCAGCTGCTCCGACTAGCATCTCCACGTCGCCTTCTTTATTGACGATAATCGAGGGCGACATCGAAGACATCGGTTGTTTACCGGGGTCGATGAAATTAGACGGTGACGGAGCGTAATCGTAGACATTGATGATGTTTTCGCTGGAGAAATCGTCCATTTGGTCGTTCATGATGATGCCCGTGCTTTCCGAAACGAATGCCGCGCCGAAACTGGTAAAATTCCAATCGATGATAATCCGCTTTTGCTGGTAATTAATACGTACTAGTAATTAGTGGTACTGGTTACTGTAATCGCGTCTCCGTTGGGGGCTAGTATGCAAATATTGGCCGTTCCGTGATCGTCCGGTAAATTGGTATCGGCTCCATAATAAGATGCGTTCGTTTGTGTGGAGTTTAAACTAATTTGGCTTCGAATACTTTCGGCGTATTTTTTTGATAACATCGAAGAAAGCAGCTGCAAGAGTATAAAAATAGTAGCACGACTATTATTTAAATCATATCTGTACCTCACCCGCGTGAACATAGCACCCCCACCATCAAAAAAATAAAAAATCATACATCATAATTTAGTGCTATTTTAGTGCTAATTTAGTGTCAACTTCCTAATTTTAGGGCTCGTCTGGTTGAGCAGAAAATTGCGATTGAAAATGGCGGTGCTAAGTTTATAAAGCTAGCACCCCCACATTTAAATATTTAAACAAAATTAATAAATAATATATCGGAATTTAGTGCTATTTTAGTGCTTTCGAATGCACTACTCAGAATATCATTTAAGGTATTAATCTTAAAGATACTTGATAAAAACGTATTGGAGTCAATAGAAAAACAGATAAACATAGATAAAATACATTTAAACATAGTAATAGGGAAACGATTTTGATCTCTAATTTTTTAATGATGTTAGTGCTTTTAAAGTAGTTAATGTCAGATTTTAGTGCTCAACCCTTAAACTCAAAAAAAAATCATATTTTTACCATTTTGTAGTCTGACCTCCAAGAATAAAAATGTGATTTTTTGGGTTTAAGGGTTGAGCACTAAAATCTGACTTTAGCTATCTTAAAAGCACTAAAATGAACAAAGAATATAAAAAAAATCATTTTCCTATCTATATTTTTAATGATACTTTATTCTTGGATGTCAGACTATACAAAATAGTAAAAATGAGATTTTTTGGGTTTAAGGGTTGAGCACTAAAATCTGACTTTAGCTATCTTAAAAGCACTAAAATGAACAAAGAATATAAAAAAAATCATTTTTCTATCTATATTTTTAATGATACTTTACTCTTGGATGTCAGCAGACTACAAAATAGTAAAAATGTGATTTTTTGGGTTTAAGGGTTAAGCACTAAAATTTGGCATTAACTACTTTAAAAGCACTAAAATCATTGAAAAATTAGAGATTAAAATCGTTTCTCTATTACTATGTTTAAATGTATTTTATCTATGTTTATCTGTTTTTCTAATGACTCCTATACGTTTTTATCAAATAACTTTAAGATTAATACCTTAAATGAAATTCTGAGTAGTGCATTCGAAAGCACTAAAATAGCACTAAATTCCGATATATTATTTTTTAATTTTGTTTAAATATTTAAATGTGGGGGTGCTAGCTTTATAAATTTAGCACCGCCATTTTCAATCGCAAATTTCTGCTCAACCAGACGAGCACTAAAATTAGGAAGTGGGCACTAAATTAGCACTAAAATAGCACTAAATTATGATTTATGATTTTTTATTTTTTTTGATGGTGGGGGTGCTAGTTTCACGCGGGTCTGTACCTCGGTGATGTTAACAAACTCTGGATCGCCCAATAAGCTTCTCTTGGCGTACGAAAATTTCAAGCTCTCCACGATTTTTTGGTAATTATCGAACGCTTCCGGATCGTTTAGATCCAAAAATCCGTCTAAAATATTCAAAATAAACGCCACTACTGCTCCAGAACCCGGCGGTGGTGGAGTATATACAGTGTGTTCGCTCGAAAGTTTAATGGATAATGGAGCTTGCCATTTCGGCCTGGAAATAACGTGCCAGTACAGAATCAAAATAGCTCTTTTAGTTTCAGTAATTACCTATAAGAATGTAAATCATCAACGGTTATTATTCCATTGCGTTTTTTAATATCATCGACCAGACCCTCTGTTAATGATCCATTATGTAAAGCATCGCCGCCTTCATCGGCGATAATTTCCAATGTTTTACATAATCTGCGCATTGTGTATTTATCACCTGCAACGTATACATCGTTCGTTTGGGGGTTGACAAACATTTCGCTGCGAAATTTAATAAATTAGAACGCACCGGGAACGGTTTCGCGCTGAAATTGTTTACCTCAAAATCGGGTCGCCCAAAATAATTGGCTTGCGTCGTTTGAACGTGGCTTCCAAATGAGGAGTAACCGTCAGGCCGGTTTTGCACAAATCCACCGACGGTTGGACGAGTTCTCTCCAGGAAACTCCTCCGCCGTGTTTCTTGTACAACTCCCAGTAGCCTTTGAGTTCGGCTGGAACCGCCACAGCCAATCCACCTGAAGCAATCGAGCAGCTCATCGGCAATCTTCGATAGGTTTTTGCTTACCAACTCTGGATGCATCGGGGTTGCCTTTGAACATGTCTTTAGTTGCCGCTTTTGGAGCTATTTCCCTGGAGTTTAAAATTTGAACTACCCCTGTAGTTCGATTGTACATTGTCAGTAGAAATCCACCACCTAAACCCATTGCGTAGGGTTGGGCGAGACCTTCGCAAAATAAAGCTGCTACTGCTGCATCTGCTACGGTTCCTCCTTTGGTCATAATGTCTCTATAACGTGGAGATGTATGGTGAATTTAATGGTGAATTCGGTTTTGAGTTGGTAGGCTCACCTTGCTATTGGTGAACATTCTGGTCCGTTGGTTACTACAGCTCCTTTGAATATTTTTTTATCATCTTTTGGTCTGAATATTATTACCAAAGTTACTGCTACAGCGATTATTACAATTAGAGCGGCAGCTGCGATCGCGTATTTTATTTTTTTGGGTGTTCTAAAATGCCAAAAGAGTGTTTTCGGCAGTGTTGTTAAGTAATTAATTACAAGTAATTGAAAAAGTAATTGAATTACTTTTGTTGTAATTGAGGCGGTAATTAATTACAAGCTCCTCAATTGTAATTCATTTGTAATTCAATTACTCCTTTCGTTACAATTACAATTACATTTTACAATTACATTTCAATTACATTGGACACAAAAGTACTTATTTAATATTTTCAATACGTGGAAAGTTTAATTCCGGTTGCAAATCCCTAAATAATTACTTAAAACTGACACCAAAGCAAAGTAATTGTGATTGTAATTGTAATTGTAACTTTAATTGTAATTGTAATTACAATCGCAAATTTTGTAATTGTAATTGCAATTAATTACAATTTGCCAAAAGTAATTGTAATTGTAATTAATTACATATTATAAAGTAATTTTAACATCACTGGTTTTCGGTTACACCGGAGATCTAAATTGCTGTAAATGTTGATGCTGTGCTATGATGAAATTACTTTCGTTGCGCTAATGAAATTTGAAATATCATAATCTATTGTTATCATTTATTGATATTTGTTTAAATTCAGTTCTTTGAGCTTTGTTGCTAAATAAGTTTATTAATTTATGGCTATTTTGTTTGTAACCTTGAAGGATTTCGTAAAAAATCTGATAAGTTTTATATTTGAAAATTCAAAAACGTTAACTTTTTACTGATTTTTATTCTTTGTAGGTATTATTAGTAAAGACAAGTAGGGAATATTACATCCTATATGCATATTTTTGCGAATATTACAATTTTTCCGAAGTAAGTAGTCCTTATAAAAATCCTCTAAATATGTAATATCCAGGTTGAATTTATAGAACCAATTAACTATAATGTTATCAAAACCACTCAACTATGTATTACCATGGCAGCCTTGTATTAAATGCAACCGAAAGCGTAATTTTTCGTTTCATCACGTAGGATAAATTAAAAACACAAATTACTTTTACGGTTTTTTTTAGCCCGCATTTCAACCGCAATCAATTATTCCAAAATCCACTTTATAATAAATTCCAATAATGGTCAATAAAAATCGTTACATTGTTTTAGAACCGCCGGTGATTTTTTAATTGAGAAATTATGTTTTATGTGGGTTTCAGGTTATAAAAATAAGTTTTAATGTCGCACAAATATCCATAAATTCTAAATCTTTAATGGATTAATTAATTTATTTTGAAGGCATTTAGAAAAATTATAAAAAATGTACCAGGATGATTTGCTAAAGCTTATGGATGCTAAATCACCTTGTAGTATTGTACAAAAATGCAAATAATTATTACTTTTTAATCTGCAACGCAAATATGTATTATCTTTAGAACATTTAAAATTTTTTACTAACATATTATGTGCATAACTCGTACATTATTATAATTATTTTAGACTCGTATCCTAAATTAGCAAAAGTAGAACCTCGTTAATTTGGTTTAGTGTAGCATTTTCGAATTATTCTATGCACTTTAAAATATCAATGCACTGAAAAACTTACATTTTAGCATGTTTTGTAACAGACAAAACCATTTTCGCGCACGGTTTTTCGCATTTACGACTTTAGTTACTTCGACGAAAAGCGATTGACAACTACACCTTGAAAGGAATTTTAACGAATATATATATAACAATTTTAGTTCGGGTTCTTATCATCTACACATTCTCAAATAGCATTGTTAATAATAATAACAACAATTGTAAAATTTTATCTATACGATGAATTCGCGCAGGTATACGGTGAATCAAAAAAAGACATTTTTGCGCGTAAAAATTTAATCAAACATTCATCGGAGATTCGAATCAGTACTGGTCTTGGACATCCTTATAAACGTTTGTATATTGTAAATATTCGGATAAGTTTTTGTAGTTGATGTGAATTTGGAGGTCCAAGCAGACCAGTAAGTTCCCGTTCTTCACCAATTCCGCTTGGTACATTTTAGTACCGAGCATTTCGTAGGGTAATTGCATCAAGGAGAAGTCTAACTTCAACCCTTGTATGTAGTATTTTCCTTTCGATACAGGACAAATCGGTTTTTCCTCAGCTTCGTCCATTAGAGGATAAGGACGAGTACTGAAGAAGCCATTGGTGATTTTACAGAAGTTGCGTTGATTGATGTAGATTATCAAAGGCTCGTGAGGCAACGGCGGTTTTTCTAAAACACAAATTTTTTTTAACCAATTCCGCTTTAATTATATTTTTACGAATTTATAGCAGAATGTCCGGCCGATTTTTGCCCAACAATTCCGCCATTATTAGCGAATTTCGCGTTTAAATCCTGCTTGATTAAATAATCCGAATATCTTTAAAACCCCGACCACTCTTTGTGAGCGCGCCGAAATTAATTCCGATGCAATTTCAACTATGAACCCGCAATTCAAATTAGATATCTTTTGCGCTGGAATTTCAACTTTTACCGAAATTGATAATTAACAACAAAGGTTAATAATTCGATTTGAAAAATAAACATTAAGCCTGCATGAACGCACGCCAAATTTCATTCGCCGCTTTCGGGTTATTATTTACGAGCCATTTACTATATTTTCGAATTCATCAACCACTAATAATGTAAATAATGCGACATACAGGGGCGGGTAAATGACACCTAAAGTGCAGTGTTGTTTAGTAATTAATTACAAGTAATTGTAAAAGTAATTGAATTACTTTTATTGTAATTGAGGCGCTAATTAATTACAAGCGCCTCAATTGTAATTCATTTGTAATTCAGTTCACTCCTTTCGTTACAACTACAATTACATTTTACAATTACATTTCAATTACATTGGACACAAAAGTACTTATTTAATATTTTCAATACGTGGAAAGTTTAATTCCGATTGCAAATCCCTAAATAATTATTTAAAACTGACACCAAAGCAAAGTAATTGTGAGTGTAATTGTAATTGTAATTACATTCGCAAATTTTGTAATTGTAATTGCAATTAATTACAAATTGCCAAAAGTAATTGTAATTGTAATTAATTACATATTATAAAGTAATTTTAACATCACTGCTAAAGTGTATTGAATTGCGATAGGCTATTGTAAGTAAATTAAAAACTACCTCTAAAATTAATTTTCACATTTTCGTCTATGTCTGTATACAAACTCATATTTCCTGTAAGACTATTATCTTCTGGATTAATCGAATAGTCCAAAATAAGATCGTTTTCTGCATAATTAAAGCATTTTTCAATGGATTGTACATGGATATCTACTGGACCAACCATCTGAAATTAATCTAATTACCCCAAAAATTCCACCAGCTTATTTTTGTCATAAATAATATAATAGAGTTAACTTACATAAAAGGCCCTTGCATATGTAACGATTAATAACAGCACGTTACAAGCCAAATAGAACGTGATAATTGCGGTAGGAAAAGGCGGACATTTGTAGCACATCGTTCCTCTAGAGCGGGCTTTTTTTGAATAATTTAAACCGAAATTCGTTCGATGATTGAGTTGAAAATACATTTTGATGCATTTCGCGAAAAGACTAATAGATACTAATGGAAGCCAAATTACATCCGCTAAAATAAGCTCGGGAAACAGAGTAGTAGCGCGAAAAAATTGATCATTTTGCTTTTGGATTTTTCCCTTCATTTTGAAATCGCCTTGTGGAGAGACCTGATAATAAACCAAACACATTGTAAGAATTTAATGAACGTTCTTAATATACGATATATTAATTTAAATGTCCACAAGTTGTAGTAACATTTAATTCTGGCAATAAAATTATGTTTGAGGTGGGATGATAATTAAAAGTTAATTTTATTTTAGCATAGTCATGTGTAACTTATTTAATGATGCAAAAAAATCACAAACATATAAAACAAAGCTGGTTTTATAGCATGCAATAACGCATTAAGTACTCGTCTTCAATAAAAAAATATTTTAAATATTTCGTTGTTACGCCAATGATCCTTAATCGAGTTTTCCATCAATGGGATGTCTGTTTTATATACTGTAGGTTAATTAAAAATGAAATTGATTATTTTTGGGTGTAATTGAGTAATAACGTCAAGATATCGCTGCAAGATTAAAGTGATTTATCAAATTTTGATTTATACCTGTGCTCTTGATTATATGGAAAATTGTTTTTAAATTTCCCAATAAATGATTCGAAAATATTCCAAGTACCCGCATTCATTTCGGTTTAAATTCACCGATATTTTGTAAAATACATGGTTTTATTTTTCATATCAGTCTATCGTTTTAACGGATAATTAAAAATTGGTATAGTTGCCAATAAAACTATACAACCAGTATTCGGAATACATTTTACCATAATATAAAAAACGACAATTACAGCCTGTTGGGGAAATTCATGCCATAAATCTTATTTATACGTATCCTTTATGGGAGAGCAAATAATACATCAGACAATTTAGATTATTATTAAATGACGAGATCGAGGGACCACGAACGCAGTTTCAGAACTAATATAAATTTAATAGTCAAAGTTATCTGGAATTCAGGAAACAATGAGATTAAATCAAATTCAGTGTTTATCATAACGTCATAGCTGATTATGGCATCCGGCATTAATATCACTCACTCCAATAATGGCGTTCATCAAATAATTACCTATTGTGATCGGCCGACTTAATGGAACATTCAAAATATTATATTTATTTTAATTCTACACACGGTATTGTATTGAGTACCTTTTATATAGTATAAATGATTTAAGCAACGCTGCCTTTATGACAGCAAATTAGAGCTTAATCTGGATTATTCGATGCATGTATCGATTAAAAACCGTGCTATTCAAAGCGCATTGAATGAATATCCGAATTTATAGCGCCGAATTCGAAATCGCACGCGGGATTTCGTTAAGTTTCTCATCAAATTTAATCCGTCGAAGTTGCCGTCGACGGAGGATTCAGGCACAATGGATGAGGTGCCGGGATATAAAAGGATACACAGGATAATGCACGTTCGTACTTTGCAACTCGACGAAAGGGAAGTTAAGGGATCGGATTTAAACCGGGATATTTTCAGGAATCCGCGACGCCTTGCTGCATAACATGCTATAGTTTGAAGGCTCCAAAAAAAACAAGCATTGAATACAAGCACTAGTTTATTTATTTTTGTAGTTATTATTGCATTATATACAGGGTGTTTCACAACTTATCCGACAAATTTTAACCACATATGCACTGTTACGAGAGAAGTTAATTTCCAAAAGAAAAATGTAATAAAAGTCTTACAGAAATCGAGATAATAAAATAATAGTTTAACAGTTCAATTAATTATACAAGATGTTCAAAATTGTTTCCATTTACTGCAATGCAAGCTTGGGTGTTTGTTTTTTTTGTTTTAACCATTGTTTTGGTACAACATTTGCTACAGTAAAGTATTAAGGCAAAATTATGAACGCAAAATGCAGTATTTATTTTTCAATTTTTTATTGAAACTCGGGTTTATAATTTTATTTCTGTAGGACTTTTATTACATTTTTTTTGAGATTTCTCAAAGAGAGAGAAGTTGATTTCTCAAAAAAAATTGTAATAAAAGTCCTACAATAATAAAATTATAAACTCGAGTTTCAATAAAAAATTGAAAAATAAATACTGCATTTTGCGTTCATAATTTTGCCTTAATAATATTCTCTTCTTCGAGCAGCTTAAAGTAGAAGAAGACGTTGAGTTGTTTAAAATATAAATTCGCGGAATAAAAGTCAAATTGACAAGAGAAATGGGGGATGTTTCGGATTATTTTTCATTTTTCCAGCGAATGAATAATTTCGGCACATAATGTCGCGTAATAAATAATCCAGAGCGGCCGGAATTTTCGTAGGCGGTAATAAATTATCGGGGAAGTGATGTTGTAATAATACGTAATTTTTTTAGGTAAGTGGATTTTTTCCGGATTAAAACCGAGCCGTTCAATACACTTAATGGCGGATTTTAATTAAATTAAAAGTAAAAGAGGGCCGCGCGATAAATTTTCGGCCGTCGAGAAATATAGAGAATGATCGATATTCGTTTAATAGAGTTCTTTCCGCGGGCCAAGCCGACGGCTATACGTTATTTTTATGACTTTTCGAGGAATTTCTCCGTCGAGTAGCTATACCGAGAATGTCTTTAGTTCAAATTCGATTAAAAGACAGCGGCAATTGTCTGTTTTCGACGATAAGTTTATCGCAGCTTCGAGCACACTCGCAGACAGCCCGGTAATCTGTTCTTGTTGTTTCTTTTCACGCTTTCGCCCCATTTTTTTAAAGTGCTCTCCACGCGCGCCGGAATAGTCTTCGGAATTCTACATACATATATCTCAAAAAAGAAACCACAATAAAATTGAATTATGAATGTGATGCACTACTAAAGACCAGCAACAGAATATTAAGCATTTGAAATGAGCAAACAAAAGTTTCTTCTCACTAATTGGAATCAAAATGTATAAAAGAAAAGCAATCGAGAGAATACAGTGTGTGTCACGACGAGGGCCCATTAGAAGTATCTGGAAAAATTGTGGTAATTAAAATTTGAAAATTTGTGTACAAGTATTAGTCGATGCGCTCTATTCAATGAAAATATTTTCAACTTTTCTTTACTTCCGGTTATACCGGAAGTGGACAGCAACTTTGTTATTTTAAATGGGACACCGCATATATTATTATATTTTCGAAATGTACGCAAAATTTTAGAGTGCTTTTGTCTAAAAAAACTTTTTTCAAAAATGCATACTTTTTGAGTTACTAATTTTTTTTGAAAAATTTGACCGATGCAGACCCTTATAAATTATTTTTTTATGAGGATCCCTTTAAAGATATGGATACGGTTTCTGTAGGGTGGCCACTAGCAAGGTCAAAGGTATTTGAATATGTGTTAAAAAAACTTTTTATTTTATACAGGGTGTATACAAAACATGTGAAAAGTTGAACTTCAAAAATATCAAATTATTTCATTTTTTTAAATGGAACCACCCATTTTTTCTATTTTATTGAAATCAGCGATAAAAAATAAGAACAGTTCATGTTTACTTCCCTATACCTAAACCTAATAGGTTTGATGATATTAAAAACTTTACTTAAAACTTACTTTTCTGCCTTATTCTTAAATAATCCGTTTTTACAAGTTGGCCATGTAAATTGTTTGTAATTAATTGATTATTAATTTTGGTACTTGTGAGATATTACATAGCCAACTTGTAAAACAGAGTTATCTTCAAACTATTAGGTTTAGGTATAAGGAAGTAAACATGAACTTCCCTAATTTTTTATCGCTGATTTCAATAAAATAGAAAAAAATGGGTGGTTCCATTTAAAAAAATGAAATAATTTGGTATTTTTGAAGTTGAACTTTTCACATGTTTTGTATACACCCTGTATAAAATAGTTTTTAGTTTTTAATACAGTTTTTTAATACAGATTCAAATTGACCTTGCTAGTGGCCACCCTACAGAAACCATATCCATATCTTTAAAGGGATCCCCGTGAAAAATAATTTATAAGGGTCTGCATCGCGGTCAAATTTTTCAAAAAAAAATTTAGTAACTCAAAAAGTATGCATTTTTGAAAAAAGTTTTTTAGACAAAAGCACTCTAAAAGTTTGCGTACATTTCGAAAATATATTAATATATGGGGTGTCCCATTTAAAATAACAAAGTTGCTGTCCACTTCCGGTATAACCGGAAGTAAAGAAAAGTTGAAAATATTTTCATTGAATAGATCGCATCGACTAATACTTGTACACAAATTTTCAAATTTTAATTACAACTACTTTTCCAGATACTTCTAATGGGCCCTCGTCGTGACACACACTGTATATCTCAAAAAAAAAACACAATAAAATTGAAATATTAATGTGATGCACTACTAAAGACCAGCAACAGAATATTAAGCATTTGAAATGAGCAAACAAAAGTTTCTTCTCACTAATTGGAATCAAAATGTATATATAAAAGAAAAGCAATCGAGAGAATATAAACCGAGTGATCCCGGGTAGAAAAAACTAACCCTCTATCTCCTTATACTGATATCGCATCGGTTCGAGTAGCGTAAATTCCCGTCTATCGTAATATTTCACCGGATTTTCCGCGTGCACTCTCTTCTCGCCGGCGTTTTCCGCGAAATATCCATTTTCTTTGGGGAAGCGAAAACGGTTAAGTCCAACGCCGGAGGCTATCACAGCCTCCATCTGCATATCAACAAAGGCGATCATCTTGTCGGCGAACCTCCTCTCTAAGAATATGTTGCTTTTAATGCTTTTTACCGAGATGAAGGACGTAATAATGCGATATAGTTCGGCGAGATGGGTTTTCATTCTTCTCCTTACACATCGAACTGTTTTTTAATCAACGGCGGTTTTTATTACGCCGCGGATTTCTCGTTTTGATCATTGCGCTTTGTATGCACGCCAAATTGGAGTGGCTCTCGTCGAGATTTTTATTGACACTGCGAATTTATTTCGCGTCTTGAACTGCACAAAAACTTTCGAGCACTCCGGTCGAATTTACGCGCATTATCATATCCAAGTGGTGTTTCAGTTTCGCCCACCGAATGCAATTTCTACCGCCTTGTCATGTGGTGCATTAATATCGTTTGTTGCACTCGATACTATACAGAGTAACACGTTTCGGCGTAATGGAAACCAGCTAGATCTTGTATCGCTTATGCCATTTCTATTCCCGATATAAAAGTA